ACTAAAACTTTAAATGGTGGTGGGTAGTTTTTGGTCTCTTATTCTTGGAGGTATTTGACTTCAGAAATGAAGAGAGAATGATTCTCAGAAGACAACAATCCCTGTCCTTCTGCAAATTAAAAAAAAAAAAAAGACAAAAAGCTAAAAATTAAGCCACATAAAACTGAGGCTTTTGAAAATATTAAATCTGTGATCTGTAAGGGTCTTGCTGTTTGTACATAGGCTCAAATGTTTTCAGAAGTAAATTAAAGGTGAAATGAGGATGGAGCAGGGATTTTTCCACATGAGGCTATTTCTTCTTCTACAACTGGGGGAGTGAAAAGTTCTCTAAGAAGTCTATGACATTTCAGAGAAAGAGGCAGTCTCCCAGCAGTTCTGCGAATATCCTGATCTTCCTAATGCTAGCATTTCTACATTACCCCACACACAACGGCTCAAAAGCGTAATGCAAACACTGGTCAATCTCAGCAGTGCTCCACTCTGACCTACTTGGCCTTCATCACAATTATCCTGGAGGCTCAGCGCTCAGTGTCTGGGTTATTCACACTGCACAGCAAGCCCCATGTGTCTATGCTGACCCTACGTCCACTCGTTCCTGTTAGTAGCACTTTTAGAGACATACTATAGCCCATAGCTTATAACAAACCCCAAATGAACTGGGGAAGGGATTGTGTCACTTGCCACTGACACAGTTTAGCCCCCAGCCCCCTGTAAGACCAATGCAAATGAAAATAGTCCCTAAATTCTAACTTGTATCGAACCATGCAACCGTTTTTAAAAAAAAAAAGAAAGAAAAAAATATATAAAAAAGGAACAGTATTTGGGGTAGTGTTCCACCAAGAATCTGAATTAAACCTATGTGGTATACATAACGTTAGTGACAAAGCTATATACTTTTGGCCCCTATGTAGTCCTCTGCTCTAGTTTGGGAACAAAAGCATAAAACCTTAAACTGAGCAGGTGGCAGAAGACACAGCATAATGCATTTTTATGGACCTTCCATATGTCCTTTCCAATATGCAGGGAGATAAAATCTCCCTTCACTTACATTCATGCAGTCCCACTCAAATCTTGCAGTAGAGTACTACAGCAAAATCCATCTGTGAAAGTCATGCTGTCCATGATGCATCCATTTCTCAAAAATTAAAAAAAAACAACCAAAAACAAACAAACAAAAAAAAAAATCTCAAAGACTTGTCCAAGTACCACAGTTTCTTGCCAGATCTCATCCCTTATTTAACTCAACCAGTCACCTTGGGAAACTACCTATGGATTTGTATCCCTAATGGCTCCTTCCTTTATCTCAGTTTCTCCAGTTCTAAAATAATGGTAGTGATACCTACCACTTTAAATTGCTTTCTCCTTGCTGGTCTTACAACTAGATCAGGTCTTAGGATTTAGAATAAACAGGACTTTGAAGCCTCATTTCTTCCTTCTCTGCCAGATACTGTCACACAAGTTGCCTGACTGGGTTTAAACCACGACACCACCTAAGTTGTAACATGAAGCTTAATTCACTTACTGCTCTTCAGTACCATAAGAGACTTATAGATGCACAGGGAACTACTGACAAGCATGTTTGAGTATTTCTGTATGTAATCTGAACTTTTAATATTATTCCAAAATTAACACACATGCAAGATGTGTTCGGACGACTGTATATCTAAATGTTCTCTCGGGAATGTCAAAGCTTAAAACCCAAGAAATAATTGCTCTTTAAGCTCATGCTAACGGCTTGCTTTGCAGATGGAAAACTAAAACCTTACATTTTCTTGTAAGCACAGGGTTGACACTGGTTTATTTCTTTCAAAAATACTTACAAAAGCCAGGATTTCTCTGTATATATGTGACCTTGATTCCTAGATGGCACATGGACTACTTAGAGATCATGTTACTAAGTTATTTGCAGTTAAACGGGATAAAAAAAAAAAGAGGCTAAAATTAATGGGTCACTGGGTATTTTCTTCTGAGAACTTAAGTACTTAACAGTAAGAAAAAAACAGTTTACAGCCAGGTGGCTTGAGGGGATATTTTGTTGAACACTGATTAAAAATAATTTCTTCTAAATGAGACCTGACCACAAAATGGGACCATTAACGAGCAGGGACATTCTCACCAGAAAGGAAACTACGCTTGATCAACTCCTGCACCGCCCACAAACCCCAGGTCTTTTTCTCTCTCTCTCACACACACTCTCTCTTTTTTTTTCTTTCCCCTTTTTCTCCTCTACCCTTTTCTTGTTCTTAATAGCAGGGTAAATAAGCAGCAAGTGATGCTGAAATGTTTTCGGCCAAAAACAGAGGCCAAACTCCTCTGAGAAAACATTTGGCCTCTGTGGTTTTGTAATATGTTCCAGAACACTGAGTTCACTGAAGAACATTGTGAAAAACTCCCATCGGCTGGAGTGATGCTGGGGAATGTTACTGTATCCCAACTTCCAATTGGTCCATTTCCTGCAGGCTTGTTAAAAAAAAAAAAATAGGGAAAAAAAAATAGTGCTATGTGGGAGTTAAAACAAGTTCTCATGGGAAAAATGAATGGCAAGAAATTCTAGCTTTAAAAGAAACAGCTAATCTGCTAGTTTGATTGTTCTTCAAAACTTACAATGAACCAATAATCCTAATTAAAAACACTTGGCCTAGTTCTCTAAAGCATCATAGCTTTTTCTATGCTTCGTTTGTACACACCATAGACTATTAGTTTTTTTCTAGTGCTCACTAACAAAGTGCTGACTTTGTTGGGATGGCTGAGCTAATTTCGTGAACTCAGTGTGAAACCTTAGCTAAACAAAATTGTGGTAATTTTCCTTAATTTGTAAAAGTGATTGGAGTGCAAACAAAATTTTCCTCTTGGGTCAATCCTATAATTTTCAATTAACTAAAACTAATCGGCAGGCGTGTACTGAACCTGCATTTTGTTTAAAGGGCTGGAAGGCACTTCTGAAGGTCAGGATGCATTAATTGTTTTTATTTTAGTTTCATTTAGTCTTTATTAAAAAGCCACATTTAAGTTCAGGCTGCCTTTAAAAGGAAAATGCAAATTGTGTGAGATAGGATTTCAGTCACAATAGCTTTTCTGTATCTACAGTAACTCCATAAAAGCTGCCTAAGTAAGAGAATTGTCCGTGGACTAGATCACCTTTGATTTTAGCATTGCTGTTTAGTATTACATAACTTTCATTTATTGAATAAAATATAACGTGTTTTAAACACTAACCTGAAAGGCATATATGGAAACGCTCTCCCTACTGGGACACCTTATTTCCACATTCAGCCATCTGCTTCTGGGCAGACAGGCTAAACTGTTGCTCTCCTTTTTACTGGAAAAGCTAATTAATGATGATCTGAAAAGCAAAACCAAAACAGGTCCACACCATTTTCACATTTAAGTCACAAAACGAAGTCCCCAGAAATGTCTTTTCAAAGTCAGCGGGGGTGGGTTTCTTCCCTTTCTTCTTCTACATGCATACTAGCCATTTCACCAGCCCAAGATGTAGTCACACTGGTGGCTTGACAACAAGCAGGACAGCACAACTTACTGTGAGTAAGAAAGTGAGAAGGGAAAGGATTCGTGGTCACACTGCCCAGAGCTCTGGCTGACACTCTCATGTGGTACACACTGGCAACTTGCACCAGCTGACAATCTGACCCTTTGCTTTTGCTTTTTCTTTTGTCCCAACACATTCAAACCCTAAATATCTTCCTTGATATGGTGCATTATTGTCCAATATATGAATTTTCCACACATTGTTGAAATCATAATACTCACAATAAATGCACACAGCCTCCACAAGTGCCTGCTGCTCAGCCAGCAAAGCGATATGTGAACACTTTAAGACCCAGTTTAAAGGAGCCCAGTACATAATCCCAACTGGGGGAGAGGGTATTAGTAAAAGACAACAAAGCTTTATAAGGCACCTTTGTTCAACTTTCTCAGTGTTAAGAAAAATCAAATGAGATCCTTGCTACCCAGCTGGAGCCCAGAAGTCTCTCGTCTGCCTCGAGTCCCTGTGTGTACTTTCACAGCTGGAGCAAAATATGTGCCCACTGTAATTCAGAATGCCTCATAACCACAAGTATTTATCATATATCTTATTCTTAAAATTCCAGGGGCAATCAAGAATGGGGAAAGGAACTGCACTGGATTGTGATGAACCACTGTTCAGGCAAATGGTTACAGAAATAGTCCCGTCTCCATATGTGAAACAACAAGCACATAAAAGGACAAGCACACAAAAACCTGGACCAAACCATTAATTCTTGTAGCACACATACCTTCCAAGGAATCAATGACACACATTCATTTTAAAAAGTTAGGCTGCTACTTGACTTATTTCCCATACCATTCTTATCACTGCTGAGAGTGGTTTAACATTGACAGCACCTGCAATGTCCTCATGTGGCTTTTTTCAATAATTCTTCAGACCAAACCACTGGACTTCATCATCTCAGTGTCAGATGCAACCCCAAAATATGCTGCAAGTCACTATGCAGCATCAGCTGGGGTGAAAGCTATTTAGCATCCCTGGAAGTCAGAGACAAGTATGTAGTGGTGAGATGGGCAGGTAAACAGGCTGCTGCTTTGAACACTTGCAACACTTGCCAGACAACATGAGATGGAGATATTTAGCAGAATGCTTCTTGGAAGGCAGGTTTGTGATTGTGCTAGTATGTCTGGCTCTTTATGCTTGTACTCTTCCTCTGTTTGTTTGAGTAGTGGAGTATCTGTTTCTCTCTTTCCTCCCCCTGCCTGGGTAAAGAGATGTCCCACTGCGAGGACAAACAAGCAAACAAAAATCCCACACTGGTATATTTTCAGATTCATCTCTATGGTCATCCATTTCTGAAATCCAACCTTAAATTGGTATCTCCCATGACATGCTCAGCCAAAATAATAAAATACAGTACCAGTTTTTAATGACAAAAACAGAAACCGGAGGAAGCATGATATATTGCCTGCCCTATTTCTCCACATTATATCTAGTACTAAAGCATCCTTACCTGTGTAAATGAATCTTCCAGGCGTTCCCTTGCAAAACTGCTTAGACTTGTAGGACAATGTGACTTCTACAACCCCTGGGATATGTCGGGGAGGCGTCTGTACACGAATAGCATGAGGAGTAATCAGCTGGAGGAAAACAGAGAAGGGAGTAGAAAGGGAAAAAAGCACTGTTAGATGCTGAACACTTCTTTAATAACACTTTCCTCTCAGATCACAGTAAACAATCTTTGAAACATGTAATTAACCTGTCAATGTTTGAATACAATCTGGATGTAACCCACACAAAAGCCAGTTACTACAATATTTACAAGCGTTCTGCTCCTCAGCCATAACAACATTATTTCTGTTTTCATACATGGCAGGCACTTGCTTCCTAGTACAAGCATTAGCCCTGGTTTAATGCAATAATTTTAGTTCACAGCAGCAGGATGCCTATGTTTACTCAGGTGAACAATGGGGTCATAGCAGTGTCCAACAAATCCAATTGATGATACACAGGTGTGTGAACATGGCACAGCTCAAGCCCAGGCTGAGATTCACTGTGCAGCCCAAGCCCAGGGCTTTTAAATGCACTGGTCCCCAGCTGGCATCCATACCCTTGAAAAGCACCACATGCTGCTGAGTTTTCTATTCATTTTCTGGAGGTATAACGGATTACTGCAGAAATGCAAATCTGGCTTCTGAAGGATGGTGGATCTTTCCTTACAAATGATCAGAGCACTCGAGAGATATATCAAATATAATCATCTAACCAACACTTCCAGTCTGCCTTCGTTGCAATGACTGACACACATCTGATGTGAATTTACATATTAAGAAGTAGACAAACTTAACTTTCTTAGTATTAGGGCTGGAAATCCTGATCATCTTAACATATAAGGTTGGGGTGGGACAGTGCTGCACTTTCCAGGCTCTAGACCATTTTTGCTCTGTCAGGATTCTGGACTGGATTTAAAACATAGTCCCTGAAATTGATATAAGAACCATCTAGGAGTTTTTTTAATTCATGGCAGGTTAGCTCAAACCTCTGCTGCACTCAGAAACTACAGCATTGTACTCCCCATCACTGAAAAGTCCTCACTCATTATGCTGCCTCAGACAAGAATAGGGAAGAGGGGTATGGAGAAAAGCTGCCATGATAGTGTCCAGCAATAAGGATACAGCTCTGGCACACGGAGGAGCGTTCTCCAACTGACTGTGGCACACTAACACATTTCCAGAGAGGCAAACAAGACCAAGACCATAACCAGCCTTGACAGTGAGCAAAGCCATGGGCACCCTGTGCAGACAGTAAACTGCCCTGTGCTGTTGTTTGAATCATTTCAATATGCCTTTTTTTCCCCTTAATAAATAGCTAACTTTATTTTTATTTTTACTAGGAACCAATTATGTCAAAATCATAGCAAATTCTTACCAAAATTTCAGATTTTTAACCAGTTCTCAGTTTAGGGCATAGGACTAAAAAAGCACAGGAGAGTAGTAGCTGTCTGAGAGCCATCTGTGTTACTGAGGGAAATGTCATACACAGTAGGAAGTTCTCCATACATAAAATAAGAAAATTAAAATTGCACCAAGTTGAAGATTAAAACCAAAACTGTCACCATCAAATGCTCCAAAAGTTATTCAGATCCACAGAAGTCATAAGTCATATGGCATTTCAGAAATGATCATGTAGGAATTGATGCCTCCTCGTTTGTGAGCTCCAAAGAACATGTTTTGAGGCACTGCTTTGAAATCATGTGATTTAGAAACTTACTTATTTTTAAAAGAAACCTGTCTTTTTTTTCTGAATTACTCACTCGATCAACTGGGTAAAAAGCAAAACAAAATTAAAAAAAATAACCAAAATACCAACAACCAAACGTCCACAATTGCTTTTACTTTAATTGAATTATCTTACAGTTGGGTTGACTGAGCTTAAAAGTCATGGCAAACTCTCTATATGCCCTCAATAGTAAGGAGGCAGAAAGCACTGCCAAATAGCAATTTATTTCCAGTGCTTTAGACACCTCTCATGTTGGGATGAGCTGCTCGCTAGAAGCATCTAGCTTTCTCCAATGACCCCAGATGACAAGTTCAGACTAGATGCTTAACTGCAGGCAGCCAAACATAGCTGAGATAAATCCCCTCCATAAGTGGTTCTAGTTAACTGGGTGAACTAGCAAGATGGGAAAAGTTTCATGACATTTCTAGAGGGAAAGTATTTGTAAAAACAGCCAAGGATTTCAATAGCAAAGGTTAACATGTTAGTCTTACTACATCAGAATGTGCCTTGTTCCCCTCACCCCCATTCTAGCGTGAGCTACACAGGCAGCTTCTGGTTGTATCTTTGAATTTCCCAGCATTTACTGGTCTGTCACCACTTTAATGTTCTTTAAACATAATTTGTGGCATTTTCCAATACTCATCTTCCCTGGTTCCCAAGAAATGTCTGACCTATTTATGGTCCATTGTTACAGAGAGCTGGGGAGAGTTAAGCAAGTTTCCTGGTTTGTTCTCCACAAACTGTTTGGTTTTCCTTTGTGCGCTGAAGTAAATAAGTTTAACTGCGTTTAAAACCACAAATATACAATAATGTCGCCCACACATTCCCAAAAGATGAACATTATGTCTGAAGTCCTATGGTTGAGGATGCTCAGGATGTATTTTACCCCTCTCTTTTCTAGAACTAAAACTTGGGAGACATACCAGAAGAATACACATGCCTTTTACTTTTGCTTTTTCTCCTTAGCATCCGGCACTGGCCACTGTCGGTGATAGAGTGCTGAGCTAGAAGAACCTCTGGGTCAGCCTTCAGTTCTCATGCACACAAAAAGGAACTGGCTAGCTCAGTTACATAGCAGTAGTCCCCTATATTGCTGTCACATCAAGAAATCGTCTTTAACAGAAAATGTCCTCTTGCACATCAAAACCTGCCTTCAGAAGCCCACCTTTGGTCTTGAAATCTGATTCCCCAGTGCTGCCAGGATCTGTGCTGTGGAGCAGGACCAGCTCTCCCTGTTTTGCAATTTGAATGACCCAATGGATACTACACAAGTCCGGGTACTCCATGCCCACCTATGTCAAATCTGCCCCCAACTTTGATAACTCCAGGATTATGGGATATTCCCTGGCTACATTGTCAACCTGCAGCCTGACCTTGGGGATCTACTCCACCATGTTTTCTCTTCTCACGTTGACATAGCCTGTACCTTATTCAAGGCAGTCTGTCCCATATTTGCATGTAAATCAACTGGAAGAGGTGAGGTATTAGCATCAAGGAATATTAAAAGTAAAGACAACATTCCTGGAAGGCTCTGAGACCCAAACAATTGGAGACTGATAGTTGTGGGGAAGCATCATGACATGTTCACCCTGTTGCTTTTATAGACAGCTGTCATTGCCACTACCAACCCAAGATGTTCTGACCTCAGGTGGGAACTTTTGGTGCATTAACAGCAATCAAAACAATTGTAGCAATGACATGCCAAGAACTAAGAACTTATAAATAGGAGCTGACACACATTTCTGACTGCATTTTAAAAATGTAAATCTTGAGCAAGGCATTAACCTGTGATTTGGACACAAACCCACTGGCCAAAAAATCCCAGATGCAACTTCCTCTTCCATTCCAACTTTTGGCAAATTAAGATCTGGAGCTGGACATAGAACTAGTAACTGGACCCTTTCTCCCAGGGATTTTCAAGCAAATTGGTCTGATACTTGGCGATTGCATTAGCTGTTTGATATAAACTCTTACAGGACAGTTGGGGCATGCTGTGAATTGCATTAAAACCTGAGTTAGAGATCTTCACAATGGAGGGAGGTGCACGTCCTTCAAAATCCAAAACACATTTGAGTGCGTAAAACAAGCCTCTTCCTGTGGTTTGCTAATATATTCTAGACATTCTTGTATGATACAGCATCATTTCACACTCCTCAGAGTGCCAGGTTACTTTCCTTTTTTAAAAGTGACATTTTATAAGGAGATGTCATTAATCTGAGTCACTAGTTTATTTTTGCTTGCTTGAGCTCTGGTTTGTGGTTAGGGAAACGGTGACAGTCATAAATTTAACTTGGACTCTGTGTGAAGAGGACCTAGGACAGGAATGAAGAAATGAAGAAACCCACCAACTGAAGGCAATGACAGTTTTCAGTGAGAACAGGACCCATACAGTACCTGTATTTTAAAACATGACCAATGACTTCACATGCCTCAATTCTGGGGATCTGGATGCTGCTTAATAAGCCTTGGGTTTTTTAAAAATGAGTCAGACCTCCAAAATAAGAATGCAAAAACAGAGACTTCCAAAATCAATAACAAACATAAAAAGCAAAATAAAAAACTGTGTTACAGAATTTGATTCAGCAGCATAAAATAAACAAAATAACCCCCAAAACCAACAAAACCCCACCAACCAAAAAAATCATCTTCTGGTTTTGTGCTGTACAAAGGTAAAAAAATGATGTTTCAGTGCTTCATCTTTTCTTAGTATAAAAGAAAAAGAAGTTGTTTCCAGCTGACTCTGTACAGCTGGAGGAATGTTCTTGGCAGGAAAATGTTTGAAGAAATAGTTCATTTTAAGCAAATATCATGGAATATTTATAAGAAACTAATTTTGTCTTCACAATCATGTATTTGCCCTGAAACTTGACTCTTGGAGTTTCAGCCCCCCAATAAGTGAGACAAACAACAGGGGATTTTTATCTTCATCTCCAATTTGGACCATTAGCAACAATGCACAGACGCAGAACACTAGGTAAAAACCTGCAAATAACAACTCTCTGTGTCTGTGGACTGGACAAACAGACAGGCAGAGCCTATCTGGCAAACAGACTATTTGCTGGGAGTGGCCTGTCCAGATTGAGCATGCGCACACGATATACCAATGCCATTTGTTGGTCAGTTATGAAAGTCCCTTGGAAAAAAGGCATTAGATGGCCCATTTTCCTGTACTCTAAAAATATTGAGGGCTCTCAAAGTCATTTTTATAAAGTAATATGGGAGTTAAGGATTAATTGAACTTACTGGCTTAGGGTATCTGCATTTCTTCACAAAATTAATGTGACAAATTAAGTTTTTATTTAGTTCTCCCTGGCTGAGAAAGGTTGCAATTATGTTAGAGTGTTTACAGCTAAAATATATATTTGAATAATAAATATGTGTTTCAGAAACCATTTTAAACCTCCTTTTTTTAACACAGTCAACTCCATTTCAAGCATATAAATATTTCAATTACAAAACTTGAATACATGTAAAATAAATTAAAAATATATTATTTACATTTCAAATTATTTATAACATTCGCTGCTTGACAGCAACAAACTCACCCTTAAAATGAATATTTTTTTGGCTTTAAACTTTGCTTCTGAACCATGGTAGGATTTATATTTTTAAGTATCCATGCATCTTGGGTATTTACATGGATTTCACTGCAACAAAGTCTGAGTAATATAAAAACTTTATGATAATTATCTTCACAGCACCTTTCCAAAGAAGGTGACTAATCTTATTACTATGTCAGAGAAAGGGAATTGAACTTTAAGCAGATTATGTGATTTGCCCAAGGTCCCATGCAAAGCCTCTGGCAAAATGATGCTTAATTTAAATATTAGACTTCATCCCCCAAACCACCTGCAATTATAACTGAAAGTGAAGCTAGAAAAATCCATGTGGAAACACTGCAAGATTCACTCTTTTTCTTTAGCTTTCCTGCAGCTTAGTTAAAATCATGTTGCGTTTGGATCCATGAAACAACAGGATGAACTTGAGAATTCTTCTTGAATTCAATGACAAAATAACCTGGCCAGGTTCACTCAAAACTGGGCCTGACTGGCTACTCAAGATGAAGCTGCCTCAGGTTTGAAATGGTACTGAAATTCAGATCAGCAGTTCAAGTCTACACCCTACTAAAGGAAAACAGAAATATTCTTCCTGGGGACTGAAAATGCACCAAACATTTTTAGAAGTGGAAAGGCAAATGAAAGAACTCATTTTGTACTTCATAGGTGGCTAGTATGTGCAATCTGAATTATTTATAGATCACTATTATTTAGGGATCACTCAGACAGCTCATGCATTTTTGCACGTTTGTCTGCTTCTTTTCGAAAGATTTTTTTTTCCCCCCATAGGATTTTCTATTTCTCTCATAGGTTATGAAACTGAGAAGCAATTCTGTAAGTGAAAGATAGTGAAACAGCTCTCACCCAAAGCCGACTTGCAACTGTGAACGTTACAGCATTCACAACAAACAGACTGGCTTTGGGTTGGACCCCCTCTAACACTATTCATTTTATGACAAGGCCTTGCAACCACCAGCAACATTTTGACCACCACTCACTCTCCTGAGATTAGAAATTGCCAATTAATGGCCTCCACTGATAAATAGAATAAAAATTTATAATGAAAGATCCAAGTCTGCAGTATCAAAATCAGAGCATTTTCCTCCCAGCCTCTTCACTTTTCCCTGTTAAATGTCTGTAGCCATAATGGCTTTAATCCTAACACACAAAATGCTTACACTGGACCCAGGGGGCACTTTCATGATCACATAAGGGCTTCAGAATAGGGCTCATTTAATATATCTCCTTTTCCGGAATGCCCTTTCATCCACACTTGTTCTCAAGTGGAAGGATGAGAAAGGGAGAGGGAGAAAGAGAGGGAGGGGGGAGAAAGAGAGAACAGTGAAGCCCACGAAGGATGTTAAGAGAATACTCTTCATATGGAAAAAATGCTGCCATATGTGCAATGGAATCAGTAGGGGGAATGTGCTGGATATGAATTAATATAGATTGTTGATTTAATATTTACAGGATATAATATAAAGCATCAGATGATCCTCATGTAAGGTAAGCATTGTACAGCTACTTCAGAGATACTATTTTGTCTGTTAGTGTGTTTGAGTATTGAAATAATGAAAATAACAATTTGTTATAAAACCTCAAAAATACTTTTGGAAAGCCATAAATGTAAAACATGAACCTTTCCCTGGAGCTGCCTTCCTGTGCCAGTGAAGCCAGTGGGAACTCTGCCCTGACTTCTATGGCCCTGAACACTGGAAGTGGCTGTTCAGATGCTGCTTTCTACAGGCTTTTGGGGAATATCAGACTCCACATTTATTTATGTGTCTGGAGAAGAAAGGATTTAAGAAACTGGGAGGAAGAGGTACCGCAAAAAATGGCTAAGAATCAAAAAAGGGGACACTGTGAAACTAGAGGACCCCACGAGGTACGATGAACCTGTACTTTCCACTGTGGATACAACACTGTGTATTCGGTTGCTATTATGAAAATGATGCTTACACCAAGCACCTGCACTTTAAGGATATGCTATTTATAAGCACTGAATTTCTGCAATCTCCACCTCACTGAGGTGCAGCTACAAGCAGCCAGTTTCCCTGGAAAGCAGGATCACCTAAACGTTTGTTTCCTGTGGGCCCTTAGCTATTGTGCTAAATGCAGAATTATTCACACAGGCATTTATCCTTCCCGTTTCTTGGAATAAAAGACACTGAACTAAATTCAGGGGCAGCGAGAGGAGATGCAAATCCCCTGGCTTATAATGGATTTCTGCCACAGGTAAATTTGACTAATTATTTTCATAAAACTGAATGAGGAAAGGATTCACATCTCAACATTTGCTGCTGATTTAGCATGTGGCATAAAAAAAGGACAGGCTAGCTGTAAGCTAGACAAAGCTATTAGACATTACCGTTCAGACAACACCTACCTCACTCCAAACCAGCATGGTGCCGAATATGACCTGTAACCCATCAAAGAAATTGTCTCCTATGATGATGACAGTGGCACCTCCTGTAGTCCATCCTTCACTTGGACTGATGGCTTTGATACATGGTGTAGCTGCTTTTCAACACACATGAAAAAGAGAAGTATTCTGCTGTTAGAACCAGATTTTAATGACAGAAGGCTAGAGAAAAAATAAAATAAAAGGAGCTTTCATTCCCCCCCCTTACTAACACAAAGATTTCAGCAATCACGTTCTTTCTAGTACACATGCATGACCTCAAACTCTATCTTTGGAAGTATTTTCTCTCAATTAATTTCTGTTTGGTTTTGTTATCTGCATTGAAAAAATTAACTTTTTTAAAGCCCAGATTTACAAAAAAAAATAAAAAAATCACAGCATGATGGGCAGAAACCAACTGGAAATCAGGACAAATCCCTATTTTTATTCTGCATGAAAAGTGCAATTCCTGAGTTAAATCAGTCTTCAGTGAGCTTGCTTTGTTATCCATCATAACCTAAATTCATCATTCAAATCCCATAAATATTATGGAAAATATTGACTAAATAAAAAAGTGTGTAACCGTCAGGAATTCTTTAACTGTTCTGCAATCAGATCCAGGTTGTTTTACTACTAAACCACCCTGCTCTGCTTAATGCTTTGGCTACGACAAACCCAAACCAAATCCCACAACCTTGCCATTGAGTGATTCCAATTATGTTGCATCAACCAGACAGTTAAGAAGCAGGTGCCATGATCACAGAGTCTGTACCCACTTTTACTAGTCACTTTCTTGGTACTACATGTACTAAATTCTTCCCAAGGGGATGCTGAAAACTCAAGACCTGTTTCAAGTCGTAAGCTCAAATCTTGGTGTAAGATCTTCTGGTATAAGACTATCTAAGCAGAAGCACGCTTGACTTCACATATTGATGGGATAGGGCAACAAAAACATCCACATATTGATTGTCCTCCTCTGCAGTACTGGGGTACATCAGAATTTAACTGTGGTGAAGCAATGGGAATAACATTACTATAAACTGACCAAGACAAAAATCCCTTCATACTCTCAGCTGTAGAGTTTCAGGGTAGTCATACAGATCAATGTAAAGACGCAACTCCATCCCAAGTGCCACCAAGTTCTCTGTGCTAATACAGTATGAGGTATAAATATGACACCACTGCCATTAGATAACATTTTAAGTAAAGCAGGTACTTCAACAATTTCATTGGCCATGAAAAAAGATTCTTTCAGGAAGGGCAAAACTCTCCCAGTAAATCTCAGTGCTGGAAAGAAAGATTTTTTTTGGTATGAACCGAGAGAAGAGGCTGCCTCCACTGAAAACACAAGAAGGGCTGACATTGCCCACACTGATTCTGCAATGTCAATCAGCAGGAGTTCATTAACTGCATATGTGTACCTGCATATATACCTCTTTCTTTGGGGTTGCTGGCATGGGCTGTGAACTGTGAATTGCCACTTGGTTGAAAGGCTGGTTGAGCTGTTACTTTGGTTTGTAACTTCGAGTGTTTGATGATGTACTCAAGGGAGAACACTTCATCAGGTAAGGATTTACCAGGAGGAGAGGGGTGTGAAAGCCACCTACATTAACACCATCCAGGACAACACCCTTGCACCTGTGAATTACTTAATGGTATCCCTGCCCTATATTCTTCTAATTGTAAATTAATTTACTTTTAACAGTAAAATAATTCACTCACAGAAGCCTTTAAAATGCTCCAGACATAAAGTGCTAAAGAGACCCTGTGAGTATTTTGTGACCTTATGGTGGGTTGGAACCAATTGCAAGAGTGGTGAGGCTGGTGAGAAGCTCCTTCCTCCCAGCCTCTGGGCAGGGTGGGTGTGGAGCTGGGAAGCAGGAGGGAGCTGGAAAGGGAGCTGTTGATTCATCCTTAGCAGTGAGTGTTTCTGTAGGCACTGCTACAGACTCTCACTACCAGTGATGGAAGGCATGCATGAGGAGCAAACACACCCTGTCCCTACCTACTGAAGGTTGCAAGTGTCAGGCACAAACTTTTCCACTACTTAAGCTGATGGGGATGCCAGCTCCAGTGAAAAACACAAACACACATAGGCAGAAAAAAAATCATTACCCTACTCCAAACTTGGCAGAGCACAGGCATTAACTTCTACATGAGCTAACAAAAGAAACATCCTAACATTACCATCATGAAAATGTAGCGCACACACAGAAGTAACTTCAATATGTTTAGTTTGGATTCAAGTTACTTGTATAAAACTGTGCATAAAAACCATTGCAAAGTCCAAAACCAAATGCTTTCCTTTCAGGCGAGCCCATAGCAAGGGATTTACAGTGAAAGCAGCTTTTCAAAATGCCATCCAGCCATTTCACAGAATCAAGCTTTTTCACAAATAAAAATTAAAATCACTTCCAAATTACACCCTTTCCAGTATTTCCAGTTGATTGTGGACACACACCCCCCACAATAAAACCTGAAGATAATCAGTTTCCCATGTGTCAGAGAACGAGCTACTTTTCTCAAAGACTACAAGCAACTTTTTTTTTTTCCCAAATACCAGTGAATAAAAACTGTTTGAGACTATAAGCCATTAACAGAAAACATATGCAGGTTTCACCGAAAGGGTTGTCAAGCATTGGAACAGGCTGCCCAGGGAAGTGGTTGAGTCACCATCCCTGGAGATATTTAAAAGACATGTAGATGTGGCACTCAGGGACATGGTTTATTGGTAGGTTTGGCAGTGCTGGGTTAATGGTTGGACTTGATCTTAAAGGTCTCTTCCAACCTAAGTGATTCTATGATTCAAAATTATAAATTCAATTAACTTCAACAATGAATGCAAGATACTGTTCTGCAGTTACAGGTCCCCAGTAAAGAGTAAGCTATTATCTCCTATTATGATGTTCTTTGCAGCACCTACATTGCACTCAGGGGCGCAAGGTGCTGCGCTGTCTGTGCTGCTTCACGTGTTCTATACATGTGTGTGCTCAGTATCAAATAATGCCAAGTCCCATGGCAGCCAGGGGGACTTTGAGCAGAAACTCAGGTCCTTCTGACCTGAAGTCAGGTCCTTCTGAACTGTGGCTGTTCACTGGGACACTCTTGCCCACAAAATCAATGTAACCACCCACATGTGTAATGTTATACATTAATTTTACCAAGGAATTAATTTAATAAATTAATTTTGTTAATTAAATATGTAGCTATTGTGCTGAATCAGTGCCTCACCAAAACTCCTGACATACCTGAGGCCAAAAAGCCAGGACTTGGTGGCTTAATAAGCAGTGCAGGTTGGTATCCTTTGCAGGCACTGAGAAGCAGCATAAGTGCTGTGCATTCCAAAAAGATTTCAGGGCATTATTTTCCCTTGTAAACAGTCACAAAGACCAGTGGACTTCCCAGCTTTCCCCACACAACTTAGTTTAAAATGCAAGTGTCTGTAAAGACTGGAAGGGCTGCAGGGCAGTGCTGCCCCACAAGGGAGGCTACACTGAAGGCTGCATCCCAAGGAAGCCCAAAGAGACGTACTGAGGGAGGCATCCAGACTGCTACCTGTTTTTGAAGGCACAAAAGCATGTTTATATAATGACATGTTTGCAACTGCCAGTGTCGTTTGGGACTTTGGTCTTACTAAAACCTCGTCCTTCCCAGGCACTTTCCTTGGAGCACAAGGAAGAAGCGTGGAAGAATTGGGTCCCATTTGCCAGCATCACCACAGGTAACACTTGGAGGAGAGCAAGGCAATGACCTCAGCTCTATTTATGCCCCTGGTACAAATGTCTGGCCAGCTCAGGCCCTCAGCTCTTCATACTTCTTCTGTTAATCATTTGGCAAGTTTCAAAGTGCTGTCTGGAAGGTGTTTACTTCTGTGCAACCCTAGAAAAACAGAGCTAGGCAGAATAACCTTTTCACTGAAGACCTTGATTTTTCTACATTTTGTTTTGGTCACAAGAGAAACAAAAATACACCGCATTTTTCTGCAGAATGCAAAGTTCCAGAATTTTTATCTGGAATTAACTATAACATTAATATTTCCAAGAAAAACAAAATATTTTGTTTGAAAATATTTTCATTGCACATGCTCTTCTGTGACACCAGAGCATCATTTCTAAAATGGTGTTTTCAAAGCAAATAGAAAAAAAGTTACGTAAAATCTAAGTTTTTCTGTAGAAAAAGAGATTTTAGCTGAAGTATGAATCTTCACTGACAAAAAAATGCGGTGAAGGACTCTAGACCAGTTGCAATAAAGGCAATGAAGTGTACATGATTGATAACATGAACAGACTTTAAGTCCAGAGAAGAATTATAATAAGAAAAAAGAATAATTATACACTCTTACGCATACGAATATTTTCATTTCTGTTAATGAACTGCTGGCAGCCAACTACAACCAGAACCAAAATGGTTTGGTAGCCTAATGGTCAGCTCATTGGCACGACAGCATTACATTTGCTGCATCTTTTCAGAGCAGTCATTGGACTGAGGGAAAACTAAATATTACCCCTAGAACTGCAGGCATGGACCTTGCAGCTCCTTGCTGAAGGTGATGTGGCTACATCCTCAACCTGCTGAAATGGCCTAATGGTTATGAGTTGTAATGAGCTGTTCTCCTTCTTTGCATAATATCAAGGCAAATCAGTGTTAACATCTGACATGTTTCATTGCTCTGTTCCTGTGGTTTGAGTTAACAGATGTTAGAGAGAGGCACTAGAACCCCAAATTTATCAAGGCCAATAGGAATTTTGCTTTCAAAGCTAAGGTCTCTATCAATAAATTTTAAGGATTTATGAGCAAAACCATTAATGACTTTCAAGGGAAACAATGTTCTTTGAAATCTTCATCTTTTCTCAGGATACACGTTGTTAAAATCTGATCACCCTCGATACAAAGGATGGTAGGTACAAACTTCAGCACATGGGTAGCAAAAAGGTAAAGTTTTTGCTTGTGTGCTGTGCGTGCCAGTGTGTTCCTGTGTTCCGTACTCCCCTAGCTACTGATATAGAGGGGATTTTTCTTCCTTCAAACTGTGACAATAAAATGATTACCCCGCCACAGTTTAGCATAATGGTTCAGAAATGCTCGTGGCATATTGCAGAGTTAAAGTGGAAATTATTAG